TTTCTGCAAGGAGATGGTTTGTAGACACCTTCCAACAACACCAGGGTCTGTAACAACTCACAAAAAAGGATGTACAGACCTTGCTTGTGAATCCATATCATGAAAACAACTTGTTTTCCTTTTGGAGGGGCTAATTCAGCACAAACCCAAGCAGCAGAGCAGAGGCAGATGTAGAAATTACTTCCTCCTAAGACAAACTCCTGGGGAAATGATTTCACCTCGACTTTGCTGCCTGTTCTTTGATTCAGTCAGAGTTTACAGCTCCTTTGTACTCTCTGGGGTAAAAACAACAGCCTACATAGGAGAACCAAAATTCTGTTTAATTCTGGTGATTCATCTTTCCAGCTCATCAGGTGAATCCCATCTGCTCCCAGCTGTGCTCCCAGCCCTTGCTTTGCTGATTTGCATCACTGTCACTGTTCTCGCCCTGGTCAAAATAAAACTTCAAAAGAAGACAGGTAAGTTGGCCAAGCAACACCTTTTGGGCTTGCAGGGGTTGTTTTGCAAGGCCTTTGGCTTGTGATTTCCCAGAATTGGAGTCTGACCCATGGAATGTTTCCACCTCTGGGCACACGTGGCCGTTCTGTGGCCGGTGCAGCCTGAAAGCTCATCTGGAACTGAAAGCAAGCAAAGTCCTCCAGAAGTTGTTTGGCTTTTTTTTTTTTTTCTTTTTAAAGATGTTTAACCAAAAAGCAAATGAAAGAAATGGAAATGCTGAAGCCCTGCTGAAAGCAAGGTCGGGTTTTTGTGTGTAGAAGATTTATGGCACCTCGAGTGCTCGGAAATCCTGAGGTATAAAGAGCAGGTATAAAGACCTGCGTGGCCTGAGCAGGTCCTGGGGCCAAATCCAGCTCATTCAGTGCAAAACTGACAGAGACAGGCCAAAAAATCCCTTCTAATGACTTATTTTTTTAAAAAATACATGCATATATCTTATTCTAGAACATATTATGTCTGTAGATAAATTTAGGGGCGGAAAACCTTCAGTGATGACAGGAGTGAGAGGAAATAGATTTTTCACAAGAATGAAACTGGGAAATACTGGCTCTAGTCTGGTGTGTGGCATGCTGGACATGTTCCCTCCAGTGCATCCATGTGTTTTTGTTTTAAAGGAGGAGAAAGAAGCACCACTGGAATCCTGGAGGCAGCGACAGCTCAGGCTGGTCCAAGTCCTGCAAAAGAGCAAACAGTGGAGGAAACCTCAGGTCCAGGAAAAGTGCAGGAATGCAAGATGGACTCTGGCAAATGTAGGTGGGTGTTTTCTGGATCTGGCACTGTGTCTTCTCTCTGGTTAGAAGAGAATAAAACCAAATTTTAAGCAAAGAACTCGTGGCTTAGCAAGTAAAACACCTCCACGGGAGAGGTTTGCAGTCCAGGAATTACAATCCACAGTCCAGGACTTGTGTTCTGCTGCCAGACTACTGCCTTTGTTCCTCACCAAGAAATTTTAAGCCATAGATTTCAAAAGAGTCAGATTAAACCCTATATAAAGTTCATAAATTTATTATAGGGGTTGATTATGATTTTTGCTTACATGTAGTAAACCTGTTATCACTCTTCCTGCTTGTTTCAGTGAAATCTGATTTCTTATCACCTTTTCCAGTATTCCACAGGAGTGATTATTGTTCACTGTGTTGGAACAATATCATTCTTTTCTGTCTTACTGTGCAGGAAAATCTATGCTATCCTTGGAAGATTCAGGACCACCAGCTTATATGTAAGAGTCTCTGTCTTCTGGTAAAATATAAGTACAGTGGGTCTGTCTCAGAATGTTAATACTCTTTAGAGAGGAGCTCATGTAGAAAACACCTGAGAAAGTCTTTTAGAAACCTCTGTTCTGTGGAAATTTGTATCAGTGAAAAGTCCTCCATTAAAAGAAAATATTGAAATAATGGTTCAAAAATTTGTTGGTGGGATTTCACATCCTCATTTCATATTCTCATGCACTGAGAGCCAAAAGGGGTCCTAAGTATAAATAATGGGAAGAAAATAGTACATCTCCCCTAAACCCTTGAAAATAAACAATCAACCTTCTGTGAAAAACCTCTAAAAGTGAGAACAAAAACCAATATTTGTTAATTGTGCCTTCTGTTCTCAGATATCTGATTTGAGGTAAAGCTTGGGATAATTCTCCTCTTAATCTCAGCGTGGGGTTGACTCCAGAAGTTTCCCTCTGAGCCAGGTTTTTCCACCTTTCTATTCTCAGGACTCCCTAAAATAACAGACCCATTTAAAATACCAAGTTTGGCATAAAAACAGAAACACCCCTGAAATCACCTGCAAAAATATTGCACAGAGAGGCAACAGCAGATCACAGCTTTTCTTGTGTTTTGTTATTTTCCAGCTACCCTACGGGGAAAAAATGCTTTTCAAGGTGACTGATGAAGAACTGAGCCAGAACCTTCTGTGAAAGCCCCTGTGCACAGGAGCTGGGAATTTTCCTTGTGGAAAACCAAGGCTCTGAACTGCCAGGCACCCAGAACCCCTCGTTGCTCCCTGCCCTGCTCAGAACCCAAACGCCCTGAATCCCAAATGGCACTTGCTACGTGTTTTGCAGAACAGAGAATAAAAGAAAGCACCTCTAACCTGGCTCTTTGTGGGCAGCTCTGACTTGCAGAGGCAGAGAATCCCAAGGGAAAAGGAATGGAAGGGAAGGACCCTCAGGGTTGCTCAGTGAGAGTCAAAAAAAAAATCAGAGAATCACAGACAGGTTTGGGTTGGAAGGGACCTTAAAGCTCATCTCATTCCACCCCCTTGCCATGGGCAGGGACACCTTCCACTAGCCCAGGTTGCTCAAAAAAATAAGCATTTTCTGGTTTTGTTTAAAAAAACCCCTGAGCCACCGAGTCATTTTGCAACACACAAACCACATCTGATTTCGGTTTATCAGACACCCACCTTCCCAAGTGCTGCTTTCCCTTCACCCCCCTCTGCAGAACCATCCACAGGTTCAAAACCCAACCAGTCCAGCCCAGCCCCAGCTACAAACCCCCCTGGTTTGTAGCTCTCAGGCTCTGTGTTTGTCATGCTGCAAACTGGGCTTTGCTCCCCCCCCCCAATAAAAGCAATCCGAAGGTTGTTTGTTTTCTGGAGATGCCAAAATGCTTTGGAACCTGTGACTTGGCAGGAGAATGTTTCCTCGTGTGTTAAGGCAAGGAAATGTATTTGCATGAGGCAACAGAGCTGTTTTACTGGAAGCCCTAAGGGTGGTTTGGTTAAAGGAATTGTTCCTTCAGCTCGGACTAACTTTTCCTCCCTCAAATGCACCAGAAATTCCAGGTGCCCATGGCTGGTTTCTGCCCAAATTTCCTCTGCCCGTGGCCATTCCACCTTTCTCCTGGTCTTTAAAACACATTTCCATGCTAACTGTGGGATGGAGACAGGCTGGTTTTTCACCATCCCTTTTCACTCCCAAATTCTCCCATTGCACTCCCAAATTCCCTATTTCCACTCCCAGCTCTCACAATTCCACTCCTGAACTCCCCCTTTCTGCTCCCAAAGTCCCCCTTTCCACTCCCAAACTCCCTATTTCCACTCCCAAACTCTCCCTTTCCACTCCCAAACTCCCACTTTCCACTCCCAAAGTCCCTTCCCCGGGGGGATCCCAAGGGAGAGATGCCTGGCAGGTACAGGAAAGCAAACACACCTGTGTCCACTGTGGCCAAGAGGAAAAAAAGTAATGCCAACATTTTTTGGGGAATGTTTGGAATGTCCAGGGAAGCAGCTCTGGTGGGAAGGACACAGCTTGCAAGGGATCAGTGTTTGTTCTCATCCAGGAGAGGTGGTGGCTGTTCTCTTAGTCCAAGATCCCTGCCAGATCACCCTGTGGAAGCACAGCAACAGCCTTCCTCACCTCTGAAGCCCCCTCCTCACCTCTGAAGCCCCTTCCTCACCTCTGAAGCTGCACATTCATGGACAGAAAGGAGCTTGACACCCTGAGCTAAATTAAAGGTATTTCCAAGGTTGGCTTTAGGATCTGAGAAATTTCTTAAAGATCCCAACTCCAGGTCAGGACCCTGCTGCTCCCAGGCACAGCAGGAACAGCTGGAGCTGCCATCCTGTTCAAACTCATCAGCTTTCACTGAGAGCAGATGAGGAAAGCCCCGTGTGACCCCCCCAGTCAGAAGGAACTACTGCTTTTGTATTGTTAGTACAGGTAAAGGTAAAGCAGGTTAATGATTCATCCCATGTAGTACAAATACTTTCGTTTTCATTAATTTTACTTTTTTTTCCCCATTTCTGACAACCAGGGAATTTATATTTGGGCTCCTGACACGCCCACAGCAGGAGAGCAAAGAAATGAGGTGGGAGATGGCAGCAAAGCCCCTGTTAATTATTTCTGATTTTAAAGAGCTTGCAATGTTATTGGTCTGCACAGACAAGACCAACTTTGTTCACCCAGACTCCTGTTCTTCCCACCAGGCTGGGGGGAGGCAGAGAGGCTGGAGAGCAGGGAAGTCAGACAGACCTGCTCTACTGGGATGGCCAATCAGGGTCTTCTTAGGGACACTGTTTTCCAAAAAAATGTGCAGTACCTCAGGAAAAAAAACCCACCTGGATGTGTCCAGTCCTTGCAGCAAGGGGCTCACCTGCCCAGAGCAATGGGAAACACAGTCACAGCTCAAGGGTGGTGCTGGAATGCCAACAAAGAGGAGGGAGCTCAAAATTAGACCCCCCCCTAAGGCTCCCCAGTGTCTTTGTGGCAGGCACAGGCACCATCCTCAAACCAAGGCTGCCTGGCTCCTGACCAAGCAAAAATCTGGCTGAAAGGTACTCCACGGACTTGACCCCGTGGAGACTCCTTCCTAAAGGAGGCAGAGGTGCCCTGGACCATTCCTGGGAGCCCACCCCCCCTCGGGGGTGGCTGTTGTGCAATGGGGGGGTGTAATCAGGAGGTAAATCAGAGGGTGCACCCTCGGAGTGCCAGCAGAGCTGGGCCGGGCATTGGCTCCCCGGCTCTCACGTGGGGTGCTGCTCACCTGCCAGAGCTTTTGGATGCTATTCCTTTAAGGCACAACAGGTGGAAATGCAGGGCTAAAGGAGTATTTAAACCAGCCTGGCACTGCCAGAGCCCTCGTCCTGCTGGGACAGGGAGGCAGGACAGTCACACAAGGTCCCAGGGTCACCAGCAGACTAAGAGTGGTCAGCCCCAAAGAAAAAGCAAGAAGCACAAAAACCCTGCAGAAGGAACTTCAGGTGTAAGTAGTGCTGCTTCTTTGTCTTTTGGAAATGCAAAATCTTTCTTACTACCTCTTTGAGGTGGGGAAGGAGAAGAGCAGGAGTCTGGAGCCACTTTTGAGGTCTCTTCCTCACACGTGTAGGGAAGCAGCAGGTCTCAGTGGTGGGAGGTTGATTTCTTGTGAAAGAAGCTCAAAAGTACAGGAACAGGGTTATGACAGTTATGTTTTCTTCTCTGCAGTAGTTTTTTTAATCTTTCCTTTCTGGAAAAAAAAAAAGAAAAAAAAAGGATAACTATCATTTCAATATTTGCATTAAGTATTAACCTAGAAAATAACAAATGTTAGTAAATATTACTGTAGCAACCTAAAGCTTTGCTACTCAGCTTAAGGTCATTCCGGTCTTTTGAATTACAAGAGGCAAATTTTGAAATTTAAGAGGAGAATTGGTGCAGTTATGTCCTAAAGGAGCTCTGAGGAGCTCTCAAGCTTGTACAGTTACCAAGAAGAAAAATAAGAGAATGGTCTGGGCACAGCGTCCTAAAACTGAAATCAGAGAGTCCTTTCACACTCAGACCAAGGTGAAGGTGTGGGTTTCTGCACACCTGAGTTCTCACTCTGCAAAGAAAATATTCATACAGGATTTAATACATTCCATCTGAAGCACAGAGAAATATCACTTCCTAATTGTTAATGAGTCCTGCACTGGCACTGTCCACCCATCCAGGGGCTGCACAGTGAGTTGGGCCATGGGATGTTCCTGCTCCCTGCAGGAAGAGTAGAATTAAACTATAGAATAGTTTAATATTAAACTAATATTAAATACTTAAATTAAATAATAATTAAATAATTAAATATTAACAATTAAATAAATTAAATAATTAACTATAATTCAACTATAGAATAGTTTAATAGTGTCAAAGTTGGTTTCACTTTCCAGCCCAAGAAACACATGAACCATGACACTCTTATCTGAAAAGCAACAAGTTGGTGCATGGAGCACCTAACACCATAAAGGAATATAAAATTAGGTCACATGTTGATGACTCTAACAGCTTAAAGGAACATAAAATCAGGCCAGCAGCACAATCTCAGCTGAGATTTCAGTCACTGCCATGAGGGATGTCTGATTGTTCTGTTCCATTTCTTCTCTGGAATATATTGCTCATGCAGGGTAGTGTTTAACTGACAAACAATCTTAGGTGGGAGGGTCACAAACACTGCAGAAATTCCTAAAAACTGCTAATTTCCTCATATATCTTGATAACCTTCAGTAAGTTCTGCCCAGGTTTTTCTGCTCGCTGTATGACAGAAGGAGCACCTCCTATTTATCTTTTCCGTATTGTGAAGGAGTTTGCAACTTGAAATGTTTATTTTCTGCATGTGTTTAGGTCAGCTTGATCTTTTATCTGAGAGTTGATTCCTCATTCTTAACTCCATGAAAATGGGGCGAAATGGTGGCTTTTCCCCATCCCACTACAGCAAACAAAACTCACAGCAAGGTAATATATGCAGTGACCTTGATGAGCAAAGTAAAGATGTGGATAACCCAGTCCTGTGCAGGAAGAAATCTGTTGTTGTGCCCTTTTTTGGGAGCAAAGAGGTCTTCAGCACCTCCATAAATCACCCCTAGCACAAATGCCAGTGCTCCTCCTCACAGTACAACCCTTAATGCTGGTCTTGCTTTAAAAGGATTTCAGGGGGGGAAATATGACCTATACATGGAATATATATATCACCCACATGCTATTATTTCTTCAACTATTTGAATAACAGCAAACATTCCACAAAAGAGAAGGGCTCCCAGGCTGGAATGACAAATGGCACGACTAAATCCTCATGTTTTGTCCATCCCACTGCACGGCCTTGACACTGGTCATTATTAAGAGCAATAGTTAATAGCTAATGGGTTGGACTGTGCTGATCCCTGGCAACTTCCATCAGGAGCTCTGAGGAGCTGGCATGCTCCTGGTGCAGCTGAGTCAGCAGAATTTGGGAACTGGACTCTGGTATTTCATACCCAGCCAGAGCAGCTGCTTGCTCATGTTTGCAGAACTCGGGGATCAGGCCCTGATCTCTTCCCAATCATTATAAATCTGAAGATGTTTCTCCCTAGGACTGACAGATCCCCAAAAGCACAAGAGAAATGCAGGGAAGGTCTTGTCATGGCTGAGGTTTGGAAGAGCCAAAATGGTCAGAGAGCACTTGCAGGGGAAATATCAAAATGGGAAATACCAAAGTGCAGGCAAACAACAGTGCTGGAAGGGAAGGTGATGGTCCCAACCCAGGTCAATCCTGTGGTGCTGAACCAGAAAAGTCCACATACAGTAGATTGGGAAACACAGACAGAGAGGTTTCCTACCACATCTACTGCTGATCAGCCTCCTGCTGCCTGCAGAGGCATCGTCAGCCACTTTCTGTGGGCAGACACACTGAAGGCATGTCCATCTAAGAAAGAGGGACTGACCATGGGCTTTGAGGGAGGCTCTGACCTCCCCAGAGCTTTACACACAGCATTAGAATGTCTTTATCACTGAGTGGATGCCCAGTGAGTTTTAGAACACATCCCCCCTTCCATCTGCAGAAGCACCAACACAAGCCACTTACCTGCACTCCCCTTCACATGGGCTCAGCAGGCTTTTCTCCTCCCTGGAGCTCTGAGGTTTGGACCTTCTGCTCTTCAGCCAACATCCTTTGAAAGCCATAAGGAACAAGAGCTCTTTCACCAGCAGCTCCATGAAATTCTCCTCCAGCAGCTCGAGCAGCACTTGCTCCTCGCGGAGTGACCAGCAAAGCTCGTGACACCCCTTCTGTGGGTTAGGAATGTCACTGTCCTTGTGCCACACAGCACTGGAGGCAGGGAGGGGGTTTCCAGCCATCCAGTGGAGGTTCAGAGCAGGTTTTTACGTAACAAAGTGGCTGTGCCTGCTCAGACCTGCCCTACCTGGGAGTTTTCACCATTCCTTCAGGTGAGCGGGGGAAGGTTTTAACAGCATCTGAGAAAACAGGACTGGAGGCAACTCAGAGCTGCAGATGCTGGTTGTGCAAGAACACAGGAACCATTGTTTTTGGTAGACAAAAGTGCACATGTGTCCCCAGAGACAGAGAGGCAAAAATTCCTTCCTGCTCCAACATGCTTATGTTGGACCTGGTGCCACCACTCCTGCACACCTCTCTGGAGACAGCCATATCTTTGTTCCAAAAAAGAGATCTTGGTAAGCCTTCCCTACCTGATGAAACAACATTTGGGCCTGTAAGCCAAAAATAGTTGATTTTTTTTCGGAGAAGAAACCAGAAGAAGAGATTACTCAAATGTCACCAAAATGGGAAGGCTGAGCTGGGATCATACTTGCACCACAGAGAGAGAGGGCTGGAGGGCAGTGAGGTGACCATCAGCCAGAGGAATTGCTAGTTAGCCAGGGGCAAATATCAAGGCCCTCTTTGTGCCATATTGTTTGCTTTCTGCAGAATATGTTGTGTTTATCTTGCTGGCTACTGCTGGGATATGTATGAAAGAGCATTTTTCATGCTCAGTGAGTTAATTATTAGCCATGGACAAGTAGCCATTGAGCAAGTGGGAATCACAATACAAGGAAGAAGGCACAACAGAACACCTTTCATCTTAACAGGGAAATAAACCCCTTTTTCTTCTACCGGGAATTACCCTTAATAAAAGAGTGTCACTCGATGCCCTGAAATCAAATTCCTCTGATTGTTTATAAAGATTTGCCTTGGCACCTCTCATCATCTCTTATGGGTCTCTTCCAGCTCAGGGTATTCTATGAACTTGGAATAGGCAGGGAGATCAAGAGCCATGCTCAGGAAATGCACGTTCCCACCACTGCCCTGGGCACTGTCCAACAGCACAGGCAGCTCAGGCCAAAGGAAACAGTTGAGTCAATTAAGAGCCTTGGTTTCCTCCGAGCCATCACTCTGTTCAAAAACAAAGGGGAGGTCAGAAATATTCATCCTGAAGATTATGGACCTATTTCAAGAGATGCAGCTTGGTTTGTTATTGCCTGTCACTGGGTCCTGGCCCAGGGTTAATTTGGGTGAGGTTGGACAGGTGGGACAGGGCTTTACTTGGTTCAAGTCTGATTCTTGGAGGAGCAGGGCTGAGGTAAATCCCTGCAGCTCACTAAGCTGGAGCAGAGGAAAAGGGGGAAAAAAAGTAGAGGTGAAAATATTATTGTTTTTCTCTTTCACGTGTCCTTGAAGAGACCAGGGAAACAAAGAGCAGGAATTAAAAACAGGCTTCAGTCAGGAACTCTGCTCTATGACAGAAGGAAGAAAGTTTTACAATGAGTGTGGTGAGGCACTGGAACATTTTACCCAGAGAAGCTGTGACTGCCCCATCCCTGGAAGTGTCCAAGGCCAGGGCTTGGAGCAATCTGGGCTGGTGGAAGGTGTCCCTGCCCATGGCAGGAGATGGAACCAGGTGACCTTTAAGGTCCCTTCCAATCCCAACCATTCTATGATCCTTGCTGATACCATCCTACCTGCTCTGAAAAGCGAGGCTTTGGACCTCTCCCAGATCTGGCACTTGGAGTAATCCATCACCATCACTGCACATGTACTGAAAACCAAAAATGAAGAGACCTGCAGGCAAGAACAGAGTTATCAGCTTCCTCTTTCCCATTAAATTCCTTGACAAAAGCAATTAAAAACCGTATTTCTCTCTCCTTCAAGTAGCCACCACCCTCATATCCTCCAAGCAAAAAAGATTTAGATGACTAAGTTAAATTCTACGAGTGCGGTTACTCACCAGCTTCCGTGTCTTTTCCAGGGAATGCAAGAAAAATGGCTTTGCTAGCACTCATCTTCCTCCTTGCCCTCCTCCCAGCTGGATCTGCAAAAAGCAGACACCTCCCCAAGGCAGCAAGTAAGTGTGACTGGCCTGGGGCACAGCTCTTGTGGTGGCACCTCTGGGGAGCAGCTTCACCTCACCAGTGCCCACCACTGCCACGGGACCTTCTCGGGGCACCTGGTGCTGAGCAGCCCCGGGTCCACACTCGCCCTGGGACACCTGAGGGGGGTGGCAGAGGTGACACTTACAGCCAGCACGTTTTCCTCTTGCAGTCCTGAGCCCCGTGTTCGGGCCGCGGCAGGTGTACGGCGTGGTCGGCGGGTCGGCGACCGTGACGTGCTTCTACCCCCCCACCTCTGTGAACAGACACGACAGGAAATACTGGTGCAGGCAGTCGGGCAGAAGCTGTGGGACTGTCACCTCCACCGGTGGCTACGTGTCCTCGAGCTTCAAGGGCAGGATCTCCCTCACTGACTACCCAGAGGCAGAAAACTTCCAGGTCAACATCTCCTCGCTTGCGTTGACGGACGCCGGCACTTACCTGTGTGGTGTTGGTGACAATGGCAGAGGGCTCTCCTACAAAGTCACTCTGAGCGTTTCCCAAGGTAATTACAGCTTTGGGGCCTTCTTAAAATATTATTTTCTCTTACATTCCCCCCCTCCCCTTTTAAATAAAGCTCCACAGATCTCCTGTCCAGTGTCTGAGAGCTCAAGGGGCTCCCTGCTTTGAGCAAACAGCAGTTTTCATTCCATGGGCAGCAGGCCCTGACTGTGTCTCTGTATGCACAGATCCACCTGTACCTGAGGTAGCTGAGCAATTCTATGTGAAGCTGCACAGCACCTGGACCGTGATCTGCAGCTTCGGGTCGGAATTTTCCACCTGGAGGAAATACCTGTGCAAGATGGAGGGAGAAGATTGCCACGACATCATCGACAACCAGAACGGTGTCATTGATGAGGATTTCAAAGGGCGAGTTCTGCTGAGCTACGAGCTGTCTGCAGACTCAGTCAACATCATGATGACTCAGATGGACTGGGAAGACTCGGGCTTGTACCGCTGTGGGGCCGGAGAATATGGGAAAAATGGAAAATCCAAGGAAATGGATGTGTTTATCTATGAGGGTAAGCTATTCCCAGTGCATTTTAGACTTCATCTCTGCTTCTCTTTGGAAGCACTGCTAGCAGTCTCACTTTATTTAACAAGAATTTTAATTTCCCTTTGCAGGCTGCTATTATCCTATTCTTCATCTAGATACTTCTTCCTATTTATTTAACCATCTATAATACACTAAACCACCACTAATAAAGCTTGTATCAAGACTTAGCTTTCCCAGCAGTGGCTGGCTATCTTCCCCAGCCCAAAACAACAGGAAGCAAATTCCATCTCCCAACTGTCTTTTCAAGTCTTGATTCCTTAAATCTCAGTATGACTGATGTAGAAAGGAGAAGACCTGCCCTTCCTCTAGCAAAGGGAAAAAAGCTTTGAAATGTCCATCCACAAAGCAAATAAGCAGCCAGTGAATTTGGGGAAAAGAAAGGCCTGACAGATTCTTTAGGATCAATTCCTGGCAGTGCCAGGACAGTCTCCTGCTGGCTGCACCCCTGAGCTTTGCCTAACCTTGCTTTTTTAGCCATAAGAGCTTTGTTTGATCTGATAATATTTATTTTATTGGAAGATTTGCCATGTGGACACAAGTGAGATGTTCGTAACTGCTCCTGTCATTTTTATCGACAGACAAAAACTTCCGTCAGCTGAAGACCACGGTAACTGCAAAAACTGGAAGTTCAGCAACCTTCGAATGCCTCTATGATCCTCTGAAGAAATCCTCAACGAGGATCTGGGCCAAGTGGGAAGCTAACAGATACAACTGGATCATAGACAACACAGGCAATGTGAGGCCACAGTATAGGGGAAGAGTGGCCATGTTTGAGAACCCAGATAACAGGACAGTCACCATCATCCTGAACCAGCTGAGCGAGGCAGACAACGCCTATTACTGGTGCATAACAAATGAAGCGAAGGACCAGCAATCATCAGCTGAGCTGAAGGTCATAGAAGGTACGAGGTGGCGCTTTGGCAGTTCTCTGCCTGCTCAGTGGGTACAAAACAACCTCCTGAGCACCACAAACGAGCAAATCTGGCTTTTTGGGAAGGGACACGAAGTCCAAACCTGAACTCGCTTCAGTGTCTCTAAAATTGAAACACGTGGTTTCAGCTTTATGAGAAAACGCTCACAAAAATTTCTCTTGCAAATATTTCTTAAGCCTTGCAAATACAGACCCCCAGCTTTCACCCAGAGATGCATGAAGAGCATTAATTTAGGAATGTAGGGAGCACTTTCCCTCAAAGAGCATTAATTTAGGAATGTAGGGAGCACTTTCCCCTCAAAGATCCCTCTGCAGCAGCACCACTACCTGCTGGCTGCCATTCCCAGCACTGCAACCACTAACACCAGCCTTGATGTTCCATTTGCCCTTGCAGGAAATCCTCAGCTGACAGGAGAGAAGGAAGTGGAGGCACAAGTGGGCTCACGGGTCGATTTAAGTTGCACCTACACGTGCGCCTACTACTCCTACGAGAAGTACTGGTGCAAGTGGAGCCCCAGCGGCTGCTCCGTGTTGCCAGCTTCTGATCTTGGCCAGTCGGGGCCACAGACAACCTGCAGCACTTCCAACAGGACAGTTATCCTGAGCTTTGACTCGGTGGCGGAGGACGATGAGGGGTGGTACTGGTGCGGGGTGAAGCAGAACGGCCTCTTCGGGGAGACCACGGCGGTGAAGCTGTCGGTGACCGCAGGTGAGCCCCAGGGCAGAGGTTTTCCTGCTCGCCCGGGCTGTGGATCACGCTGCCTTGTGCCGAGGGAAGTCCTCCCCGCAGCCACTAGGTTGCAGCACCTCAAAACACAAGCGCTGTACACCCGGGCAGCCTCCCAGCGAGGTGCCAACATCGCCCCGATCCTGCACAGTTTGCCGTCAGTGTTTTCATCCACTCGTTGGTTTTGGCTTCCTGGTCCCCACCAGTCTAAAGCTCACTTCCTTCCACACCAATTTTACTGTTAGCCCCGTCCTTCTTAATTGTTGCTGTTACAATTTGTAGCATCATTTAGTTTCAGCCACATCTGTCACGTCTTCACCAGGTGAAGAACTGATCTAGTTCAGAGACTTATCTTGCTCCAGGGAGCTTCTTATCTTAGGAAAGAAGTGTGCAACAGGAGAGGAAAGACTAACACCAACAGCAGGGGGTTTAGTCTCAGCTTTGGTGCAGTATTTTGGAATTAAGATGGTTTTTCTCGTGGAGGAATATTGTTAGAAGCAGGGAAAAAGCAGAGCACTGGATATCCCATATTTAGCCATCCTAAGTGGATGATGGTCAAAGGGAAAACCTCATTTCAGTGCCTTTGGGGGTAAAGGAGCTAGAAATAAAAGCAAAGCAAGTATTCAAAACTCATTCTGGAAACATTAGAGGCAGAACTTAGCAATGCAAGAACTTTTCAAAAGTTTGTAGGCAGAGAGAGTCTACATGAGATTTCTGCAGTAAGTTATTTGGAACGAGATTATTTCAGATCTCAAACCCCATTTTAAAGAGCCCCTCATGCAGAGCCAAAACCCACAGCAGCTCCACATCCACCCCACACATCCAGCTGGTTTTTGTGTCCCCATCTCCGTGCTGCTGCTCACCAACCACACTTCCTTCCCTGGGATACAACAGGAAATGATGCCAAGCAGAACCCAGAGCTCCTGGATGTTGATACCCCCAGCCACTCTGAGTTCCCCAACCATGTTGAGCCTGGCCCTGGACCCCGAGGAGGAGCCTACAGTGAATCTGGGGTGCGAAGTGGAGCTGCCCCAGCAAGGTTGGTTCTCTCTGTCGTTGATAATTCTTGTGAGGTTTATATTAACCCATTGTGGGTACTGTGTTTGTGCACCGTGTGTGTGGTTCAGCAACAAAAAAAGTTCTTGTCCCAAAAGAACTTTGCTCAAAACATCAGAGGAAAAGAAGAGGGAAAAGTCACAGCAAAGGGCAAGATGACTTGAAATTAATCTGCAGGTCAAGAAAATGGTACCAGAAGGGAATGATTAGATATTCCAGACACAAAACAACTACTTGAAAGTACTTCATATTGGAGAAATTTCCTTCACACATTTATAACCAAACTGCTAATGCAGCTATTTTGGCACAACCTCTATACTAGATTTTTATTTGGCTTTTTTTTATTTTACTAGGATCCAGTTCATTAAGTGAATTGCATCAGGCTCACTCAGAATTACCATCCTATACAGATTTAGGCTGCTGGACCTTCAAATACATTATTTGTAGTGATCTCTCCTTCCCTCTATTCCAGCTCTGATCAAGGCCATGGCTCCAATACTCTTCCTTTGGTGTTGGGCCCTGTTGCTGCCCTGCTCCTGATCATTGTGACAGCTTTTGCCATCGTCAAATACAGGCAGATGAAGAGATCTGGTGAGTCCCTGCCTTTCCTGTCTCTCAAGAAACACCAACAATATTAAGATGAAGGCAACACCTTTGTGCCTTTGCTGGGCTGAGCTGCTCTCCTGGTTACCCACCATGTGAGGGGCAGGGAAGGGACCTTGCTGGTCCCACTGACCCCATCCTTGGAGCTCCAACACCCAGGACAGAGTGCCCAGCTGAGACAGAGTCCACCCCTCTGTGTGCTTTGCACCTTGTATCCCACAGAGGGTTCGGGTGCCAATGTGCTCACACCAGCTCTAAAAAGAGAATTTATTTATTTCCCCCTCTCTTACCAGACCTGGTGTCCATTGGGAGCTACAGGACGAACATCAGCATGTCAGACTTTGAGAGTGTGAAGGATTACACTGCCAGCAACAGCACCTGTGTGAAGGAGAGCCAGGAGACTGCCATCGGAGGGGACGGTAGGGTGCTGGCTCCAGCCCCCCCCGGGGTCAGGGGTCTGCAGAAGGACCCCACAAAAGCCACAGAAATGCCTGCCCACCACTGCCCCCCTCCCTAACACCTCCCTTTGCCTCCCTGCAGAGTTCATCACCACCAAGGACACCCCAGAAAGTGCTGCTGAGGTGAAGAAGGCAAAAAGGGTAAGAGGAGGCAGGAGAGAGGCCACTGACCTGGGAGACACAGCCACAGCCCTCCAGTCTCTGCCAAAGGGGCTGCCTTCTTCCAGGGGCCTTATTTATACCCAGGTGCTCTCAATCTTATCTGATCCAGCACCTGCTGCAGATCAGCCTCTGTGGGAAGGACTTTATCCCTTTCCTGACTCCATGTGCTAGTGGAGACAGTAACAGCAGTCACCTTGCTTCAAACAGTAAACCAGGTCAGCCCCAGGTTGCATCAGGAAAGTTGGGGTTGTTACCATAGAGATGAAACACTGGGATAAGCAGCTGGCCAGAAAACAGAGCACATCCCACCTTCCAACCCTCCCACACGTGGGCAGCGGTTCAGGGGGCACAGGTAGGCAGGGAGGGCTCTGCCATTGCAAGGGCTGTGACTTGTTCCTGTGATCCCTGCCTTTCCCTGCCTCTACTTTTCCCTGCCATCTACTCCCCCACCCCTCCTTCTGGGGAAGATCATGGTCAAGTGGCAGCACTGGGCAGTAGTTGAAGGTGCCAGATGCAAACCTGTGTTTTTCCAAGTCCCTACCCACAGGTGAGATGTGGGTGTTGTAAGTGCCAAGAGCTGGACTGGAGCAATAAAGGAAACCAGTAAAGCCTGGTAGCTTTAGGACAGGGAGCTGGATGCCAACACACAGGGTCAGGCTTGCCATGGAGTCCCAAACCCACAAACACTTGGGGCCTTTCCAGGGCTGAGCAGAGGAGTGATGCTCATACCAGCACCAGCATGACCCTCTGGATCCTCCCACTCATCCACCCTGCCTGTGTCATCCTGAGACCTTCACAGCCCACAAAATGCTGCCTTTCCCCTGCCACGTGCTGCTGGCCATCCCCAGCCACCTAACTGTGTCCTCCTGTCCTTCTCCAGAGCTCCAAGGAGGATGCTGACCTCGCCTACTCCACCTTCCTCCTCACCTCGGGCAGCATCGCTCAGGGTGGCTCCGGGGGGGACAGCACTGCCCTGGAAGTGTCCCCCTCCCAGGACCAGGTCTGAAGGTCAGGGACTGAGAGGAGGCAGCGACTGGGACTGGCTCTACCTTGAGGATCACACCAAGCCATCAGCAAGCACACACACTGTTCATTGCTACCACGATTTGCTACAGCTTGACCTTTTTTTTTTTTTTCTTTTGCTTAAATTCAGCTTCGAGCGGTGATTTAGGAGGAATTATTTGATGTCAAATAGGGCTGGGCTGGAAGTGCAGGGTCTGAGTGAGCAGGTTGGACTGGGAGACCAAGTGGCTCACCCCACCAACAGTTCCAACAGAGTGGGCTCTCACAGGGCATTTTAAAAAAGTCCCATTTTCTTTTAAAGGCAGCTGGAAAACCCTTTAGAACAGCATCTGATGCTTTTGATTCCTCTAAGCTTTCTCAGCCTGAGGGCAGCACCTGCAGGCCAGACATGGTCTGAAGTGTTTTCATGCACAAGCAATAAAGAATATCAGTGGCTTTCAGCAGACCAGGGAACTCGGTCCGTGGGAGAGCACAGGGAGATCACACCCAGACAAATACAGTAAGGGTGGGACAAGCTGAATATTCCACAGATAAAGCAATGTAGGAAGCAATGATGAAGAGGTGATGAAGCAGAGAAGCAATTTTCCCTGAACACCAGGAATGGGATAGGCTGGTGCCTTACCTGGGGAAGAGAAGGGGTGTGGAGGGGTTTGACAGGGCCAGGGCAGAAACTGCACAGGAATTCAAATTCCTGACCTTGTGCTGCTGAAGTGCAGCTCTGAGACCAAGCCATAAAATATAAAGATTGGGAAGCATCACTCTGGGTAGGGTCTGATGTGACTGTGTTACAGTAACACCACACAATATTTCTGGTTCAGTAAAGTATTAGCTGCCTTTAAAAAAATGCAAACAGTGTCATAGCTCAGGGAGGTGCTGGAAAATGGCTGTCACCTGAGAGACACTGAGTTTCCCCAAGGACAAAACACAAATTATTCCTGAATCATGGACTTCCCCAGAGGGCAGCAGCCCCAACAGCATTTGTGTTTTCACATCCCCAGTGCAATAATCATCACCTTACCCATAGCAAGGCTGGCACCTCAAAGGTCAGGTTACAGCTCACCTACCTCCTCTCCAGACCTCCATCCCCTCATCAGCCTGGTGGGAAGGGGCTTGGATATTGGAAAAGGTGTGGAGGGGTCAGGACAGGTCTGTGCCTGCCTGGGAGTTGCTGGAAGTGAATGACTGACTCTGCTGGAAAGTGTCCCCGGGGGTGAGCAGGCAGAGAGCGGCAGGAGAACGCTGAGGTTTGGAAACTTCTGAGAGGAGAAAACCCCTTTTGCTCTCCCTTTGTGAATCCACTTCCTCTTCAGCCTGCCCAAAGGCGTCCTTCCCTCAGCTCCCACACCGCCCTGGGAGCAGCTGGGATGAGCTTAATTCCCGGGAGAGGAGCAGGGGCTGAGAAAGGGCTGAGCATCCTGGCTCTGCCTGCACCTCTCAGCCCTGGCAGCTGCCTGCCTGAGACCCCTGCTCCTTCCCACTGCTGATGCTTCCAGCTGGCACCTCAATTCCAAAGGGGATTGGCCCTGGGCTGCTGCTGTGCTTTGCAATGTAAAATCCCTGGTTTTGATGGAAGCAGCAAAGCAGGAGTGGGTTGGGGCATGCAGCACTCTGCACAGGCTGTGAGCAGTGAATAGGATCAGCAGTGAGGACTGTGACAGCATAAGCTGAGGACGTGGAATAAAACCCACACATCTCACTCAAGCTGTGATCCAGAGCCCACCACAATCCATGGAAAGGTCCACAGGGAGCTCACCTGACTCTTCACCAACGTGTCAGCTGATTTTCGGGGGTCAGTGGTGAGCTGTGGTATCTCACTGTGTCACAGCATCATTCCCAGTGCTTATTCTTTACCAGGGAATCATGGTATGGGCTGTACCTGTGGGGTCTTAAAGGGTTGGTTTCAAGAGTGATGGAGCTGAAATATCACCTTTCAGAGCGTGGAGGGATATATTCACCCTGACACCTGGACAAATGAGAGTCACTGAAAAAAAAAAAAACATGAGAAAGCAAATTACAAGAATCAAAGCCCTGAGAGGCTTCCCTTTGGCCTAAACAAATAGCTGAGGAAGGACAGTGAGCAATCAGGGAGACCTTTCCTTTGAAAGTGAATCACCAAATCTGGTTTGATGCCAGAAGTCTGACCAGGGTTCTCCTGTGATGGAGATTAAACCAAAGCAGGAACTCAGTTGTCCTTGGGGACACAAGGACCTTATTCTACGGGAACAAAATCCTGCTAAAGAACCTCTTCTGCAGTTGAAGCATTTCTGGTGTCACCTCTGTAGCACCATTAGTAGTTGGTTGCCCAAGCTGGGAACAGCCAGCCCCCCATCCATCCTGGCTGCTGAGGCTGGAAAGGGAGACCTGGAGAGTTTGGGGCTGTCCCATGGGAACAGAGATGCTGGGAAGAGGTTTGTGCGAGCCTGAAGGATTCACACCAGAAGCAATGAGAGCTGCTCAGAGCCAGGGGAGAGCACACAGCCCCCTGGTTGTGCCCATGGCACCACAGCAGGCAGGACTTGTGGGACACCTCGCTCAGCTTAGTTGACTTTTAGAGCAAAACACACCAAATCAGAGCTTTACCCTCTAGTCTTACTCAAGTCTTATGTCTAATGAACACAGCAGGAAGACTTGATCACTTGAAACACTAGGACTAAGCTGCTACCAGGGACATAAATACCCAACTGCTCAGTGAGTTCAGAAAGTTTCACCAGCAAGAATCATATAATTCCTCAGAATTCTGACAGACTCAGCACAGTTTCGAGTGGGGTTTATTTACAGTCATTGCAACCAATTTCCACAAAACTCACTACTGAGTGTCAGTAAATTGCACAACACACACAGGAGCCTTTTTCTATTCAGCAACCACATAGAAACTTTTTTACTGATAAGGCAGAAAATATCATCTCAAAAGGACAGACAGATCTCTAAGGCCTCACACACCTTCTAGGACCTATTCTTGGAAGCATTTCTCACACTGTGCACCTTGTTTCAGCCAGATCCATCAGTGGCAGCAGCCCTGTGAGACTGAGCCCAGGTTTAAGCTGCACCAGAGTCCTTCCAGCCAGCACTCAGCACTCATGAATACACATTTCCTATCTGAATACACATTCCCTACACAGAAAATTTATAACTTAAACAACAATTTTATTACATGGTCACAGCTTATGTCTGCCAGCAAGAGAAACCCTTTGAGCTTTTTCCCTTGGAGCATCCTTTGATAGAAGCCAGCAAAGCGAGGGCAGCGCTGATTTAATCAAACTCGTTATTTCCATCTTAATGAAGACTCTGTTGGTGCCTTCACTGATGTGCCTGGCTAGCAAAGCACTCTGTTTGACTGAACCCAGCTGGAATCAGTGAGGAGCTGCACTGATACAGGGCATTTCTGTCCCTCTCATCACTGGGGTGTGCAAGGTCCCAGCAGCTCCGTCAGCCCTGGCCGTGGTGGGTTGTTGATGCCTCCTGCTCCCTAAGGAGATTTCTCCATCCAGTCTAACAGGATGTCCAGCTCACCCAGGGACTTCATTGCTGCATTTGTGACATTCAGCTGAAATGGGATAAAGGAAGAAGTTGTGAGCACAGATAATGAGTACGAACCAACGTAAAGAGGATCTAAACATCTGTGTTAATCACCAGACTCAGGCACCAACTCACCCCTTCGTAGTTTGCAAGTATTTGCTGAAATTTCTCAGTGGATTCCTGCCCACACAGGCACTGATTTTGCTCATGCTAGAAAAATAAGATAAATTCATTAGTTCGAGGAGTTACATTTAAAAATAATAGTTCAGTTTCTAATTATGCTGTAAATTATAGAACTGAGACCTTGTGAAACTGTGGGAAAGGCTGCAGGTCCCTGAATCAGACTTCAGCTAAGAACAGTTTACTTGACAGACACAGGGACAAGATAAATATTGTCCTTGAGGACTAACGTGGGAGTTTGTTTGCTGGTGAGTGGGCAAGCAGAGAAATTTCTCAGCGGCCAGAAACACTCTTCACATCACGCTGCTTTGTGTTCTTGTTGAATCCACTTGTATAAATAAAGACTTTGAACTCTGTAAAGCTCTTGGGTTTGTTTATACACCAAATACTAACAGATGGAACTAAACTGCAGCAAAGAGACGAGACTTACACACTGCTCCAGTTTCCTCTTCATGCTGAGGAAGGAGTTGGCGATGCTGCTGATTTTGCGGTTCACATACGAATCCTCGGTCTTGCAGTGCTTGAAGACTTTGTCCACGTAGAAGTTGAAGAGGTGGTGGGTGATGCAGCACCTATCTGAAGACTTAAAGGACAAATTTCATTTTTTAAAGGTTATAAACCTGCAGCCACCAAGCCCCTCTCTGGAATAAACCACCCCTGAGAGGAAGCACGTTGTAGCTGAGCACAGCGGGACATTTTGACTCATATAAAGCTTCTTCAGTGCTGCTTGATTTATGCTGGTCATATATATATATATATGAAAATATTTTAGACTGCTTTTCCAGGAGATCCATCCTCAGGAAATCTCACAGAGTCAAGACAATAAACAGCTGATTTTGCAGCTGGGTGTTAGAGGCTGAGACCTGAAGCAGTGGCCAGCATCCAGTGCTTCAGGGTGTGAGAGAGCTGAAAAATGCTTATTTATAGCATACTGCACCTCCCAAGACCACATTCCTCTGCTTTTGGATTCTTTAATGGCTTTCAACCCAAGGACACTCACGTTAACCTTGTGCAGGGAGTGTGGATGGGACAAGATGCTCAGGGTCCGGATGGGGTCTCTTGCTTGCTGCAAAGGAGAGCACAGAGATGGGGAAGGTTCCAGAGGGGCTCTGGGAGCTGCCAACTAAAGAGCTTCCCCAGCTCCACAAGAGCCTGGAGAAATACTTACAATATTGGCTTTAATTGCTGTGAAACCAGCCCTGATCTCAGTCATGCTCATGGAAACCCTGCAGGCTCCAAAGTGCAGGATTTTGTTCCCAGCTGTGGGCATCAAATCCACCCAGCAGCACATGGAGAAGAGGCAGAGGAACAAGTGGGATCCCTTCATTTCAGCTGCCTGGGAGACCTGCTCAAGGAAAACAGCACTGACTCATTATCTGTGCTAAATAACACAATTGTGATGCACATGAAAATATAAACATTTTACATAGCACTTGTAAAGTACATCTCTATTAAAAAAACCACACTGGGTAGCATCTCTTAGTCATTTTTTTTTTTACTCTTCATCAGCAAGAGAAAGAAAAAATCAAACAAAATCAAATATTTAACAGAAGAGCCCAAGAGAAAACGAGGAAAAATAAATAAAATGCAAGTAAAAAAAATTGCATGTAAGTAGAAATAGCTCTTCTGAAAAATATTTCATCGGAAAAATAAATATGGATATACATTAAATTTTTAAATGTCTACTAACTCAGAAGCAGCAGGAGGTAACTGTGACTGAAAGCAGCAGGTTCCAAACTCTGATCCCAAAGGAAAATGCTTTCCCTCAGGAATAACAGAAGTCAAATACAAGTTCTACTAGCACTGAAAATTAAGGTTATTAAGGAAAAAACTATTTTAGAGACACCTTATAGGAATACAAGGAAATACCCACGAGCACATTGAGCAAAAGGACAAAAATCAGTGTTTTACCTTGTTCTTTGGTGTGGG